ATATTTGTTTCAAAATACGCCAGAGAATTAATGCGTCGTGAAGTCAAAAAAGAAGGTCGTCTATTTGAAGAAAGAAAAAAGTGCAGAACAAGTAGTTTACTTCAATTATATTTTTTTTTAGAAATCATGCTGATTTCAGTTTTGCGTTTGTAATCGTTGAAAATATATGAAAAATAAATTTGCACAACCAATAGCTGAATTAGGTGTAATTGAAATAATTGAAAGAATATTATTCCAAAGATGCTCATAGATTATAATGTTTTTTTTTATATATCTTGAGTTAAAATAGAGAATGAATATTCTCAATGAAATACTATATCTGAATTTCATTTACTTGTCACTGGAAATTTTTACTTTTGAATTTTTTTGTTGCGTTTAGTTTTTATCCTTGATAAATTTCGTTGACTACTGTTTAGTGGGTTTGAGTTTTTTTAAGAGGACGAATACAAGAAAAACTTGTTATTAAAAATTCAAAATGATTTCGCTTCATTTTTCAAGAAGAATTAGCCACTTTCTTCCAAAGACAAAGTTCTTTTTTTTCATTCGCCAATACTTGCGTCTCAATAGTTTAATCAGTGTGATTAAATTGAAAATCCGTTTAAAACCATCTTGATCTTGTGCAGAAACTAATGTTTTTTTTTTCTTATCGAATTCAGAACTGTTGAAACTTATTTATTCCTATTAAATGATTAAAATTGACCCTTGAAAACCTTTTCGGATTCTTCTACCTGACAAATCCGGTTTGGATGTCGGGTAACAATTAGTGCAAGCTTCGATGTGTATAAGTAACACGCATATTTTTAATCCTATTCCCTATCACAGCCATATTCAATCCTACCTGGCTGCAACCGATGTTTGGCCTTCTTTTGGAAGATCGAAGTATTGGTTAGCGTATGGGAAATATAAAAGTGAATATCAGAAACTACATGGAGCTTGGTTATACCGAGGACTTTTGTAGTTTTTTAAATCGAAGAAAGAGTTCATATTGAAACAATCGATTGTACTTGAGAAGAATATCTGTCGTGGGTTTGCTGATGATATAATAAATTTTAGCAGAACAGTGAAAGACTGACTCGAAGTCAAGCATCCTTCAGACATGATAAAATCTTTGAATTGTAGTTAAGTCAACTTAGCTTTATCTACCTCATGTTATAAAAACAAAAAGAAAGATACCATAGTGCGAGATAAGAAGTTGGTTGCATATATCAAAAGTCAAATAGACAAACTTGGACAAGAGCAAATATCTTCAGAAGACGCGCTTACTGAAAGATATATCGATGAATAATGATTCAAGTTCAGTTTGCAAAAAATTTAACAAAAAACTATTGAGAAAGATATGACGAAAACAAATGTCAATATTTAGGGTTTGAAAACTAATATGTGTTATTGTCTCTTTGTTCGTATCCAATATTACTCTCTTTAGACTCCATGAGTAAATGCTTTACTATTTAGTGTAATCAATTGCTCATTTAGAGACATATAAATATTAATCGAAAGTGTCAAAGTTCATTATTTATTGTATAATCGTATCATTCACTGATATTCCATCATTTTCTTTTTTGTGCTACTGATCGCTTCATTGTTTGCTATTAAACAATTATTTAATCTTGTTGAAAACCATGGAAATATTTCATTTCGACATACTAATATTGATGTATCTATCACTTATGTATTCTAAATCACTGATGGTATACATCCACCAGTGGCGTACGCGGGGGGGGGGGGGGGGGGCCCCCCCTTGAGACGAAAAGTCCTGAAGGGGGGTACAGGAAAAAATATTTTCGCGTGATAAAAAATTTTTTGTGCCATGGCGGGTCCCCCCTTGAAAAATTTCTGCGTACGCCACTGACATCCACCAATGAAAGTTGACAATCATTCTGCTTGTTTATTAGCTGATTTTACATCAAATATCAATCTTAAAAACATAAATATTTCAAATATTAAACAAAGAAAGGGTGTAAGTGTGCGTTCTTCGTTTTACCATACGCTCACACCCACACCCAAAGGGAAAGAAATTCAAAATATTTGATTATATGCATCAAAGTTTTATTTCAACTCGAACACGGTCAGAAGAACATTTTCGATACCCATGGATTCTAGTTAGTATCGATTTTATTTTTTGAATGCTGCACATTCACACCCACACTTAACACGTGGAAAGAGAGCCAATTTCGAAATTTTGAACTAAGCGAATATTTCGGTTTTTTTTGTAGAACCTCTCGAAGGAAACAATAACAATCGAAAGAAGGTATGAGTCGATTGTAAAAGAATTTTCTTTTTCAATTTTTGTTTAAATTCTATGAAAGTCGATCAAATAAGAATAAGCTATTTTTCTCATTTTAGATGAACAGATAGAGTGAAGCAAGATGAGCAACTTTAATCTTTGGATCATAAAAAATTATTTTTTTTCTCTCCGATTTGTCTCAGTATTGTAAAAACTACCATTCAAAAATTCAAAACACGAGTGATAAAATGCTTTCAAGTTTCATACAGAAGATTTCTTGCTATCAAAGATAACGATTAATATGTTTCATCTCAAGTCGAACTCTAGTTTAGAGCTTCTTATGTTTAGTTCGTAATTGACTGATCGCCTGTTCAAATCTTGATTCAAACTGGCATTGGAAAAATAATCAATCTGTTTCTCACAGGATTTGGGTGTTATATCATAGCTTACTATGGTGCCCAGGCTTGATTTCGGCACACTGTATTTATTCTCTAAGTTATATTAATATGATTCAGTTCCATCATTTTTTGTCTGACGATGCAATCTGAGATTGCGAAATATACGTGGCATAATTAAATAAAAATAAAAATTGAATGTAGAATGAATTTGATCTCTGTTGCGAGAAGTATAATATTCATTATAAAACTCTTAGCCATAAATTCAAATAATTCTCTCGCCTCTTATGCTTCCTTTTTCTATTTGTTTTCCATTTTCGTTTCGTGTTTAGAGATTGCAATTGTAGAGCCCTGATGAGTGTTTTAATATATTAATAGATAGCACGAAAAGCGTCAGCGCAATTAAACTCTACATGAGGGTGTGTGTGTGTCAAGTATTTTCTAACGCACACGGACACAGATGCGGACACACACACTCACATCCTGAATCTTCAATACCAGATTTTTTCAACAAGCTTCAGCAGACCCGCCTATAAGGTTTCTAAGGCAGAAAATGAAGTGGAATGTAAAAATTTTGGAATTTTGATTTTCAGTGGTGTATCAGAATCATTAGCTAACGTTCAATAATCTGTACAAGTTCGGCGTTAAAATGTTTTGCCAATTACGAGTTATTAACATTTTGCTACGCACTTTCGGCAGCTTTGTGACGAAAAATCCACCTTCTCAACCGAGTAAAACGCATCCATTTAAAAAAAAAAACTTGGCAAATGATCCTGAGAAAATTTTTCAAAAAAATCAGGTACTAAAGATTCGACGCAGTTTCATTTCCTCTTTTACACAGTGTAAACCGTATATCTCTATCTAGTCCCAATCAAAAATTATTCCATACATACTCATCCTTCTTTTAATCTGAAATGGATATTAGTTGTGTGTATGTAGTGTGATTTATTGCTTGTGTGATGTAATGCCAGAACAATTTTACATGTGATTATGTCTGTAATTTGTTATTACTATATGAAGTAGCTTTTTAATTTTCTGGAAAATCAATAAAATTTGCTTTTAGATGTCTATGAAAGATCTAAAGAAGACGAAATCAACATAAAAAACCATGGCTTTCAAATATACAGAAAGATTTCAAAATCTTGTAACTTGATCGTTTTCATATGGAGAAGAAACAAATTCAATAATATTTTCTTTTTCTTTTTGCCACTGTTGTTTGGTAAGCGGTCCAATATAATATTTTTGTGCACCAACAACAAACCGATAGATCATTGCAAATGCAAGAATTCCCACGAGAATGACTAATGCATAGTTCATATTCTCTGCTGTCACCGGTTGATTTGTTGGTATCAAAAAGATAATTGAGACAAACAACGTCCAGATCACTGACCAGCAGTTGATCGACGTCGAGAATTTTTCTAAATTCCAAGGTCCAGGAATATACCCTCCTGTTTCAGCACCATATATTAACTTACAAATTATCGGTATACAGTAGCTCCAGTCAAGTGCAATTGTACATACATTAAAGATTGCTGCAATTGCCGTATAGGAACCGAGTCCAATCAGATTGGTGCTTACAGCAACAATGACATTCAAAAAAACGGCAATCAGAGGAGTCTGAGTGTAACTATTCATTTGAAGCCCAACTTTTGAAAGCGGTAGAAGATCGTCGCGTGAAAAAGCATAGATCGTTCGTGCATTTGCCTGAAGAGCTGCAATGCCACAGAAATTCAGAATGATGAAGGCAAAGAGTGTAAAAAGAATGCCACCTATTGCACGGAGAACGTTAAAGAAGATCTGAGCAAATGGTTGTGCTGTTGGCGAGGACAGAAGATTGGCAATGTCTCCCATAGTGAAGGCGAGAACAATGTTGAAGAAAAAACCGAGATTGTAACAGACGAAGAGAGCAGAGGCAATTGCCTCTGGAGCTCGTACAGCTGCATTCTGAATTTCTTCTGCAATATGTGCTGTTGCATCATAGTCTGTCATTGCCCATGAAACGGAATGCGATCCAAAGAGGAATGAGAGTCCGATGGGACTCCAGCCACTGTGTGATTGAATTTCAATTAACACGTACTTCGTCGAGTGCTTTTCTTTTTGACACACTAGCAAGGCGATACTCGCCGATACTAATACAGCTAGATGAAAGATGGCATACCATCTTGTGATTCTATCGAGCCATTTCGTGCTGAGACTATTGGCCAATCCATGAAGAATAGCGATTGCAGCCATGACACCGACAGTGTGTCCAACAGTTGGTTGATTACGAAATTCTGTGCTCATACTAATTGCAGCAAGTAGAAGTTGTGAACATCCATAGTCTGTTGAAGCAACTCCAGCGACTTGTTCAAGAAGATTTAACCAGCCACAGAGCCACGACGCCAACGAAACATGTTCAGTTGAAAAAAGATATTTCAGCGTGAAATAGAGTTCACCCGACGTTGGATACGCAGAAACAAGTTCAGCGACACTCAGTGCAATGCACATACACCCTGAACCAGCAATTAGCCAACACCAGACGAGTGCCGGTGCACCGCCTGCCTGCAAACCATAAATAAAGGTCATTACAATTGAAGCATAGAGACCAGAAATGGAGAATGCAAAGAAAAATGAAGAGACCGACCGAACTCACGTTTGAAGACGGGCTCATAACCGAGTTTAACGATTCGACGGTCACCTTTGTCAGACAGAATATTGTCTCTCGGTGTA